GACTAATATTTCGTAGATCGGACCAGGGAATCGCTTTAAAAAATCGAAATGCATTATTAAAATTAGTGCTTTACGAATTCGTGCTTTTGGAAGAGTCCAGGTTCATTGTGGAGTTTAGGGACGCGCATGGGGACCGGTTAATGAGATGACGCGAGACATTAATGTGGCTGCGATCATGCGAACGAGTTGGCGAAATAGGCGGACCGTTTGCGAGCGTATGCGCTCATGTATGAGCCGCCTCTGACCGTTAGAGCGTAGTGCACGACCGCTACATGCAGATCAACGTCACCGGGACGCGGTCTTATCCGACGCGGTAGAGGAGGGATAAAGAGCGAGGAGCCAGAAGGGGGCAAGCCGTTACATTTTCAATAATTTCTTACATAACTCGCGATCCCACAGCCGGAACCAAGCTCCCTGGATCTGGGACAGCGGAATATTCCGCGAGCTTTCGGGCCGAGATCCTTCGAGAAGCTTCGTTCTGCCGCTATCAGCAGTCTTCCTGATCCGTTCGCAATTAGAATTTCTGCTCGAGAGCCTTGGAGACCGACGAGAACCAGAAGAAGTCCGTCGATTTTATCCGTCGCTAATCCGGACAACCTTGATTTTCGGCACCGGTCGCCTTCGAGAGCCATAGGAATACCAAACGTGTTCCTCGCCGACCTTATCTGCACGATCTATCTGGCCATCACTCGAACCTGCCGAAAATAAACGCTCGTATGTCCCCTGGATCTCTTTCGCTGGATCCTCGCGAAAGGAATTTGAACTTCTCGCGACTGTGGCGAAGCTGCGAAAATTCTTCCTTTCGCAAGATGTTCTTAGCTAAATTTATACCTCGTTAGAAAATTCCCGAGGCGGGAGATGAAGCAGCGCGCCGATCGGTTACGCAATTGTCTGAGATCTAGACTGCAGAGCGAAACAGAAAGAGGTTTAATTGCCACGACGGCGATTAAACAGGGGCCGGAAAGTGTGTCACCGAGCCGACTCGGTTATCTCACTTTTTTCGAGAACTAGGGTCAAGTTACTAGAACAATCGGCGCCGATATTGCCGCGGCTCGCTTCCGACGCGTGCAACCACCCGCATCCACGTGTATCTTCCTCAGCGAAAAATGCGATTCCACCGAATGCAGTTTCGGACGGCGATCCTGTTGCTGAACCGACAACTTTGTTGCTCGGTTCTACGCGAAGCGGGGAATTCCCGGGCCTGAAAAGGCCGGGTACGCGATCGTAAAAGGCCCCGATCGTTGAGGACTCGGTCGTAAATCGGCGCGAAAACCCTTAAAAATGAAACCAGTCGCCGCGCCGCGCCGGGAAGAATCGAGCCGCATCCGGTATCGCATTGTTAAGCAGAGGAGAGCCTTGATTTTGGCCGGGACCTTCGTCAAGTCTGGCCGGCTCGCGATATCCGTCGGGATCGGATCGGATCGAATCGGATCGATTCGTCTCGCCGAGCTCCGCTTTTCGCGGACGCGCCGCGATCTTGAAATTCCGTGGCTCCAAGGCTCGCTCGGCTCTGCGTGGGATCAAGATCGAGCTCGATCGCGAGAAAACACGGCCGTCTTCGGCGAATCCGGCCGCCGATTCCGCTGAATCCTGCTCCGAGTTCCAGAAACACATTTCCCCCTTCATCCCCTCCCTCGTCTTCTCCTACTCCTTCTTCTCCCCCTTCCACTACTTTTTCACCTTCTTCATCGTCTTCTTCTTCTTCATCTTCTTCTGCTTCTTCTTCGTCTCTGTTGGCTTTCTTTGAGCTCTGAACTTTAACCAAAGGATTTTTGACAGAGATTCACGAGGATCCTCCCGGTGTCTTGTTCGCACGAACAACAACGGCTCGGTCCTCGCGTGACTCGGGATATTTGAATAGATAATTGCCGGCAAGCCAATTTTATTTCGCGTGCAGCTGACGAGCCCCGATCGTTCCAGTCACCTTGCTTCGCGGCCGATCAGCGAGTTTCGTATCTTTTCACAGTCGATCGCGTCGTAGCCCCCGTGTTTTCGGGATCGTTAGAACCACCGGAAACACCTTTCTTCTCTCGGTAACTGGGCTACAGATATTTTTGGAACACCGTCTCCGAAATCACCGTCAACCCGCGGCTGTTTATCCAGCTGGCATCCGGAGGTGCTGGCAAAGAGATACGCTTTTACGGTTTTCGCGCCGAGAAATCTACGCGAATCTTGTGAGAAGAATGACAGACAGCGGCCACACTTTCGGCGGGCATCGTCCGAGACGCGTTAATAGTTTTACTTTTATACCGTCACTGAGATTTTCTTTTACGTTTCATTAAAATTTGAGACGCGCGTGTTTACCGTTCAGGATCTTTTTACAGACTGAAAGACGCGCACACGCAGCTCGTACACTCTCTACATTCATCCTCGCATGCTCGTGTCGGCATGCAACGCCAAGTGTCGCCGATACAATTCGATCGAGATTCATCGATTTACAGTTGTACCGAAGATGTTCCTTCACGATAGAGGATGAAGGTCCGAGTTAAAAATGTAAGGTACGAGCGCATCGAGGCGAGCAAAGATCGGCCGGCACCGTCCGGAGGATCGGTTTCAACGGAGGGTATCGAAAGCGAAATGAAAAATCCTGGACGGGAAAGGGTAAAAAGGAGCTTCGGGATCGGCGGGCAGGAGAGTCTGCGAGAGCTTTCCCGTTATGCGCCTCCTCTCTAAGCTGAATTCGAGCTGCCGGCCAGAGGCCGGTACCGCTAGCTTCCCAGAAATCGACGCTCGATAATGCCTCTCGATACGGATGAAGCAATCTCCTACTGTCGCACCGCCACGAGAGGGGAAAAAAGGCTGCCCCGTGTCCACAGAGGGTGGGGAATCGAGCGAACAGGTGGGGGCAGACCGCGCATATACCCAACACCACTAGCCTCATGTTTTATTCAGCGATTTGAACGAATTCGAGGTGTACAACGAGGTAGCGCGCTTCCTCATTGTCTCCGCGAGACGATACCACGGTCGCCCTTATCTCGGAGCTTTCCGGAGCCCTTCCCCATGGTCGCCTCCGCGTTCTCCATCCCTTCCCCGAGCGATTATCCTCGCCGCGCCGCCATTTTGGTCCCGGAATACCGGCAACCGGCTTCGCCGAAACGCGATTTAATCGCAGACGAACTTCATGAAATGTCCGCCTCCTCCTCCTCCTCCTCCTCCTCTTTGCGAATCTGTCCGTTGGAAATATGAAAATTTATTGACGTTTCGAGGCTCTCGACGAATCCATCCAACGAATATTAATACTAATTTATCGGGTAGGAATGCGACGGTAATTTATGTCGAATATAATCCCATCTGTAAAATTCGCGGAACGTACGGTACCCACGAGAAAAGAACGGAATCGGTCTCCGCGTTTGACAGTCGGATTCGAGGAACGTTCTCAATCGGAGAAGTGGATCAGATAGACACAGCGCTGGCAATAATTACGTCCGCCTTAAATTCGATTCTACTCCGGGCTGACCTACTCTATGACCGCGGACGGTCAATGTTGACGCACGACCCGTTGTTTGCGCGCGTGTTTCGCGAACCTGCTAGAACCGAGATACGTGCGTGACGTTCGAACGATGAACCGCTTCTTTGCAATCTAATTTCTGCGTCGCAGGAACCACGTCGACGTTTCTCGATCGACGTAGGACGCACTGTTCTCAGGAGTTTAATAAACCCATCTCGAATCGCGTCCGTTTCGAAACAGATGCAGTGTCGGCTGACCGTTCGCGGCTATCTTTCCCAGAAATTTCGACGTTCGTCTTACAGAGTTGTCGCAACACCTGGATTCAGAGACATTGTGACTGCGGATCCGCGTCTGCCATAATTCAGCCGACGGGTTCAGCTGACTGGCTATCGGATCCGATATCCTCGGTCAATGCGTATCGGACATTTTTAGCAGAATCTTCGACGCCATAATCCTCCATACGTCTTCCACCTCGCGCGATTCTGTTCTCGCTTCGAATAGACGTACGATCTAAAACGACGCTTCTGCAACCTTCGCGCTCCGTTTATCCATTTTTTACTCGCAGCGGTAACTCTTCGGTAACGTCGTGTACCGTTTCGATCGTGATCCACCGAGTTGCAGAAAATCGTTAGCACCCTTTCCTCTTTTTCTTTTCATAGAGACACTGTACCATGAATCAGCCACTCAACATCCTAGCCCAAGGAAGCGCGATCGATCGATCCCGCGGCCGTGGCCAGCACAATCGTCACGTTCATGACACTCAGAAAAGTTGCGGACGCGCACGGAGTGTCCGGTTCGCGACTCGCGTTACGAGAAATGGAGCCAAAACTTTCGACATAGGTGTTTGTCGGTGGCCGAGCTAAATTTTCGAATCTCCGAAGGCCTTGGACGACTATGAACCGCCTGGAATATAGACTACTAGAACATTTCCGCGAAAAATCTCTAAAAATGGTCATCCTGAAAGAAGATTGCCCGACAGAAAATAGATTAAAGTTTCAACATACCAAACAGAACGTGCTAAACGGAGGCCAAGATATTATCGTTGTTTACGTAGCGCGAGTTAAAAATATTATTATCATTCCGTTCGTAGTCGTTGCTCCGAGAAAAGGCTCGCGAAGAAGCTCTTAAACGAAATCTGTCAAATCGTAGACGCGCAAGAACGAACATGAATTATCTCGACCTCTTAAGAAAGTGGTATCGAGGAAAGAAACTTGTCGCGATCCCGAATAAAAATTGCACGACGAGAGGGGTTAGTCCTACGACCGCGATGCAGATTTTTGTGTATTCACGGCGATGGACGAGATAAGGGTTAAACGTCCCTCCGGTCCGATTTCCGACGGTTTTTCGCCGGCGGCATGGTGGACCCTAAATGGTCCCGGTGCGCGAGAAGAACGAGTCGGAGGGCTGGTCTCCCGCGAAAAACGTCCCGGTTTTCGTGTGCGGCTTGCAGCGGCCGGTGCGAAGGGCCATTTTCGAGGCGGCGGGAGGGGAGGATTGTGTAATTGCGACCGGAATCGATAAAACGCGCATCGAAAATGCTCGGTGAATCGCCGTGTCCGTCGATGGGAGCGCGGCCAGCCGGTCTGACGAAGTGTGCTCGCTGGCCGGACTGTCGGCACACACCACCTCGCTGCCAGAAAACCCGATGGCACCTTAAGGAGAGAAGTCAAGGGCAAGAAGCGTCCCTTCGTTACCCAGTCTGGCCCAGCTTGGGCCCTACTTGGACCCCACTCCGGTGCCCCGCCGGTGTCTCCACCCCCTCCCCGTCGGTCGGCACACACCTCTTCTGTGGGTATCTCTCTTCTGTAGAATCCCTTGCTCCTCCAGCCCCTTCACCTTTGCCGGGGGATCTCCCCCTCCGCACGTTCCCCTGCGCACCTTCTATCGCCACCTCCCCCTTCTGCCCTCGTCTCTCAACACGAATCCATATGTATGGGGTTGTGGCGCACAGGCGACGCAAATGTGCTGACTACATTACGCCGCTATATAAGATAGCCGGGCAACCATCCTATCCCCACAGACCGAGCCAGATCGGCAGACCGTTCACAGACGGGACCAACCGACACCGACCCGACCGATATCCGCCGATACCACACGACACACCACACGACAACACCACGCAACAACTGTCAACGATTCCTGTTCGACGCGCCGGCACTGCTTCTCTGTCATCGATCGTCAAGCTCTCCGCGATCATCCACGGGAACCACCACGATATCCACCGAGAGCCAGAGAGCGAGATAGAGAGATAGAGAGAGAGAGAGAGAGAGAGGGAGAGAAAGAGAGAGAGAGCGAGAGAGAGAAAGAGAGAGCACACTCTCTTGCCGCGGAGAAAGTGAGATTTTCGGTTTCGACGAGGCTGACATCGGTCCCACCGCCATTGGACACCGGTCGCAGCCGACTCGCACCCGCTGTCAACGCGCACCGATCGCTCCACGAGTACCCTAGGTCCGGGTGACGAGTGCAACGACAAACAAACTCAAGTACAGAACACCACCGCCACGGAGATGATCCCTCTGACAGCCACCACGTGCTTCCTGATCGCCGTCACGTTCGTGGCGCTGGTCGTGATCCTGTTGGACCACCTGCGTTCCAAGAGACTCTCCAAGCAAGACATCCTCGACGGATGGAACGACAGTATGCAGGAACCACCTGGACCAAAGCCCTGGCCGATCCTGGGCTCCCTGCACATCCTCGGACGCTACGACGTCCCCTACAAAGCCTTCGGCGACCTTGTCAGGGACTACGACTGCCAGGTGATCAAGCTCAGGATGGGATCCATGCCGTGCGTGGTCGTCAACGGACTGGAGAACATCCGAGAAGTGCTGACCATCAAGGGACACCACTTCGACTCCCGGCCGAACTTCGCCAGATACCACATGCTCTTCGGCGGGACCAAGGAGAATTGTAAGGATCATTTTCTCTTTTCTCTTCTCTCTCCTCTCCGGCTTCCATCTTCTTTTCTCTTCTCTTCGCTTCGCTTCGGTTAAATTCTCTTCTCTTCTCTTCCTACCGTTTTCTTCCGCGTCCCTCGCGTAGCCTCGACGCTCGATTAATGGCCGCTGTAAACCGCGACTTAACGATCCGCATTAATTAGACGTCCCGCCGCGACAGCTCCGTCCATAAACTTCCCGGCGATTCTGATTATTCGAATGGTCCTCCGGTTGCGTAACATCACGCTGCACGAATTCCTGGTGAACGTTTTGATCATCCTTCTCCTGCGATCACGATCTTCTCGGAGGGTCTTCTCACGATTTCTCGAAGTACGATGCTTAATCCTTCGGTCGGGTGTTAAGACAATAAGATCGACGATTAACCGTTTAGCTCGATCGATGGTTCGCCGCGTATATCTATTCGAAACGCGTCCGCGTTACTCGATTGTCGGGGGTTTAAAGAAACCTCGATAGTTTTGGCAGCGATCTCGGGGCAGCTCGCCGGTCGTCCGTTGCTCGTTCGGCCGATTACGAGACGGGGTTTCGTCGGTGAAAATCGGAATTCGTGGTGTCACACGGCTCGTCACGGCTGCTGAAAACTCGTTCCCCATGCTAACGACCTTGCCGTCGTGTGCGACACGTGAGCGGCCCGGCCCCGCACGGCCGCGGCCCGTTTATTTTTCGCGCGGCTCGTGCTTTCGTTGCGGCCAGGCAACGCCGAAACTCGTGCTAAGGTCAACACAGAGCGAAGCGGTACCAAGTGCAGCCCCGGAAAGGTCACGGTACCACTTTCACGCGTTCCTGGCTCACCCGGCTCACCTGGCTCACCTGGCTCTCTCAGCCGGCAAACAGGATCAAGGCTGATCCACCGGAGGCGATTCCGACACTCGAGACCCACACCACCGTTCTTCCTTCTCCGTCCCACCTCCTGCGTCGCGATTAGACCGCGCGATCACTTTCGAAACCGCCTCCGTCGTCGAGACCGCTAATCGATCGATTTTTCCGTTATCGGAACGGTTCCACGCGACAGACCCGATATCGGACTCGTCGAAATTCGACTCGCCTAGGGTCGCGCGCGTACATTCGAAAATCGTGGATCGAAGCGCGCGTCGCTTATCGTCGGTATCCTGCAGGAGAAACCAGGTCACTTCCTGTTCTGGCCGCGGCCGCTTCGATTTGAAATCGAGCCGGCTCGCGCGCCGATGAATCGATTTTCTGCGGAGTGCGCGCGATCGGCATCTGCCGGCTTGCATTTCCGCGTCGCGCTTGTTCCCGAGAGGCCGAGAGAGAGACAGAGACGGAGAGTGGCAGCAGACGCGGAAAGGAAAGGGAGAGGAGAGGAGAGCGAAGCGAGCGAGTCGACGAATTTTTCCTTTTTCGCCTGACAACCGAGTTATTTCGAAATGCGTTTGCTACGCGTCGGTGTGCGCGCGCTCGCGCGCTCGCTCCGAAGGTCAAGTTTAACGCGCGCCGATCGGCTCATCGTCGCTCGACCAGGATCGATCAAAATCTCCGTTTGAAAGATCCACCTCGATCCCGATTTCTCTAGCGACCACCGTCCCGAAACAACTCTGTTCCCCGTAAGAATACCGTGTCTCCGATTGCAGCTCTCGCTTTCTGCAACTGGTCCGAGGTCCAGAAGGCGCGACGGGAGATGCTCCGAGCGCACACGTTCCCGCGCGCGTTCTCCGCCCGCTACAACGATCTGAACGGCATCATCGGCGGCGGTATGGAGGCCCTGATCACCCACCTGGACTCTATGGCGAGCACGGCGGTGCACGCGAAGCCGCTGATCATGCACAGCTGCGCCGACATCTTCATGACCTATTTCTGCTCGAAGAGCTTCCCGTTGGACCACGCCGGTTTCCGTAACATGGTCGAGAACTTCGACAGGGTGTTCTTCGAGGTGAACCAAGGCTACGCCGCCGACTTCCTGCCGTTCCTGATGCCGCTTCACCATAGAAACATGGCCAGAATGGCGCACTGGAGCCACGAGATCCGCAATTTCATCATCAGCAACGTGATCGACGAGAGAATGGACAGCTGGACCGAGGTGGTGGAGCCCGAAAGAGATTATCTCGATTGCCTGGTTAATCACACGAAGACGGGCGCCGAGCCAAGGATGTCCTGGAGCGCTACGCTCTTCGTGATAGAGGACATCCTCGGAGGACACTCTGCCATCGGTAATTTGCTCGTGAAGGTCCTCGGATTCCTTGCAACCAGGCCGGACGTGCAGATGAGGGCTCAGGAAGAGATCGATGCCATCGGCATCAAAGGGAACTACGTCGGACTGGAGAACAGAGGATCGCTGCCTTACGTCGAAGCCATCATCCTAGAGACCATCAGGATAATCGCCAGCCCCATTGTCCCGCACGTCGCCAATCAGGACAGCTGCATCGCCGGTAAGCAAGAATCTCCGACCAATTCTCCGACGTCTCTCGAAGACGATCGCCTTCCTCCCGATTCTCACCGAGTTCTTCCTTATTCCTCAGGCTACAAGATCAAGAAGGACACCTTCATATTCCTGAACAACTACGAGCTGAACATGTCCACCGAGCTGTGGACCTCTCCGGAGGAGTTCATTCCGGACAGGTTCGTGCGGCAAGGACATCTCCTGAAACCCGAGCACTTCTTACCGTTCGGCGGCGGCCGAAGGTCCTGCATGGGCTACAAGCTGGTCCAGTATTTGAGCTTCGCGTTTCTGGCCACGCTGCTGAAGAACTATGTGATCACGCCCCTGGCAAACGAAGACTACACGATACCGATCGGCAACCTGGCCCTGCCCGAGATCACGTTCAACGTTCGGTTCGAGAGACGGTAGGGTCTCGAGGAGGACGAAAGCTCAGCCTGGGCTTCAAGGGTGAACCTCGATCCTCGGATGAGGCGTTGAGAACCATGATCGATTCCGGAAGAGCTTCCGGAAGAGCTGGGAGCAACGAAGGACGAGCCGAAGAGAGGCTTGTCGTTTTTAATTTGCTCTTTCTCTAGACCAGGCATGGGCGACGAACCCTGAACAGGATTGTTCGGAGGACGATCGACATCGGAGAAGCGACGGGACACTGTCCGCAGCTCGACAGCAGCTATCTGCTCGCGCCCGTGCCTGGTTTAGACGACGCTTTAGAGAAGGTCGAATGCCACGGACCGCGCGCACAGACGACGAGGATTCGATCTTCGTCGGCAACGAAAGCTTTACTGACATTACTAGGTGTTTAAGCTAGCTAATTGTTGATCGTCCCTCGACGCGTGAACTTCCCCCATCCGAAACGAGCGAATCGAAGACGATCAGCCAACGATATATCAGGAGAGAAGACTTGGACTGATAAAGAAGAGGACTGACCCTGCAGCGGGGATCAAGGTGACGACGCCGCGCTGCACAGCCATGTTCTAGCGAGCGCTTTAGGTAAACCGGGCCCCCTTGCCGATCGCTAATCTCTCTCTTCGCCCTCTTTCCCGCGGAAGATCGAGTTGCCGCCAGGTTTTTCTGAGAAAACTTGACTCGCCTCGTCTCATCTCGTCTCATCTCGTCTCGTCTTGTCTTGTCTTGTCTCGTCTCGTCTCGTCTCGTCTCGACTCGACTCGTCTCGACTCGACTCGCATCCAGTCGGGCGGACGCGTGTCC